CTCCCAGCTGCCATTCTCCTCATGGAGACACCATCCTGCTGCTCCTCCAGCTTCCTGGCTGTGACCTGCTGCAGCTTTGAGGTTCCAGTGAAAAAACCCAAACAAACTCCCAAAGCACCCAGAGGGTCCCAAGTGCTCTGAGCAGCCTCAGAGGGGACCTCCACCCAACCCTCTACCCAGTAGCTTTATCTGAGGCCAGCCCTGGGCTGCCTCCTAGGTGGGTTGGTCTCTGGTTTTGCTGTCAGGATGGGCCCTTAAGGGGATGTCTTGTAGCTTCTCTCCAGCCCCCTGCAATGATTGCACCCCCAGGTGACCCCTGGGCTTGGGCCACCCCTTTGCTGTGTCTGGGGCTGTTGATGGAAGCTGCTACCAGCACCCAGCTCTGCTCAGAGACTGTGCTGTGGGTGAGAGCACAGCCTGTGCTGGGTCTCCTTGTCCTGCTTCATGGGACAAGGCTGGTCCCTGAAATATATATATATATATATTTCTATAGTCATCTTCTGTTCTAAGAGTGGTCTCACAAGCTATATATATATATATATATATATATATATATATATATATAGTCATCTTCTGTTCTAAGGGTGGTCTCACAAGTCTTCTTTTAGTAAGGGCTGTGAATGAAATGGTTTCTCTGAAAATCACTGTGTTGAATGATGGTGAAATCCTGCAGTTTGTGACTGCCATGAATGAGTAGTTTTGAGCACTCAACCTCTAGCCTTATCCAAGGCACAAAGATCTCTAGATAGTCTAGTTGGGAAGCCTTGGCTTTGCACTCATCCTTCTGGAATGGTCTGAGCTCTTTTCCAAGCTTTTCTTTTAAGAGACCAGTGAACTTCTGGGCATAAATCTGATGCTCACTGATGACTGGGAAGGCAGAAATGTGATTGAACAGGACTGTTCTGCTGCTGTGTATCCAATGGTCTGAGTAAACCATCCATACCTGTAGAGGTCCTTCTGGCATCTCTGAAAAGCCTCCTGCTCATGGTCAGGTAGGGGAGGCTACTGGGACTTTGAGGGGTTTTTTTGGTTTTACATACTTATTTCCTTGTGTTGCATGTAGAAGTTGATGTATAAAATATTTATGTCGCATGTGGAGAAGCCTTTTGAAGTGGAGCTTCTTCAGTAGAGTGTACTTAGGGTGTGAGTACAGCATAATGGTTTTTAGTATTTGGAGTTTTATGAAGTGATCATGATGCCTCTTCCCCCAGTAAATTCTCTTCTTTCAGACGCTTTCTGTTGTACTGCATGTTGCAGAAAAAAAGCTTTCACTTCTGCGGTGTATCACCCAGGGCTCTCCTTTTGGGTGAGCACTGCCAAGTGACAGATGTGTTCCTGCAGAGCACTCACGTGCCTTGAGAGCACATCTCTGGCTCAGCAACTTTCTCTGATTGGGAAAATGCTCTTTTTGTGGGGAGTAAAGTACAAGGAGATTTATAGCCTGCACTGATATAATGTGATCCAGCCATGACAGTCCTTTCATCATAATGACTGATGGATCTTGTTGTTATTATTCTGATTTACTACTGTAACAGGTAGGTTTGATCTACACTTGCCACAAAGAATGAACGTGTGAGGAAGGATAACACTGGAGTTGTTGTGGTTCAAACCCACTCAAGAAAAACTGCCCTGCATGTAAGGTGTGGATGTTTTATGTTGCTGGAAAAAAGCCAAAAGAAAAACCCCAAACCTTTGCTGTTTGAGTTTGCTCTTTTCAGTGTGTATTCGAATTTTTGAAAGTGAAACTCCTGAGTTCTTCTTCTCACATTGTTGATGAGTTCTGTGTGGAAGTATCTGTGGTCAGAGCAAGTCTTTAAGCAATTGGCACCAGCCCTGATTCTCTTTGATTTGCAGCCGGTGAGTTTTTCTAAGTGAGTCTCAGATCTGCTGGTGTTTTAGCACAGGAGCTTTGCAGGGAGGGCCATGTGGCACACAGGCAGATTATGTAGCCTATACATAACCTTTTTTGCAGTAATAACCAGTATCTTAAAAAAAAAAAAATACACTTGGTGAGAATGATCCTGTGTTTATCTCTCTGTCACTTCTACAAACTTTCAAACAAAATGAGTCATGATATAACTCAATTTGTGTCTGAGCTTCTAAAGCTGGTGAGAAAGGGGTGGGGACTGACTGGCCAGTCTTCTGTGTCTTGCACAGCCCACTTTCCGTGCCAGTAAGGTGCCTTAGTCTGTGAGTCTGTCAAATCCCTGTGCTGATGGCACTTTCACACATTTGAGAGCTGTAATGCAGGAGAAAAGGCTGTTGTCCTATTATCCAGAGAGCTGATAGTTCAGCTGGCTTCCTGGGCATGACAGCAAGCTGACAGTGATGGCACTACTGAGGCTTTGTGGATTCTGACTGCAGGCAAGCCTCAACAGAATAACCAGATCAAAACTGCTAACACCATAAGCTTTGCTTAAAAATTAATTAGTAGGAAGGAGGAAAAGGAGGAAGGGCGGACACTGCTTTGATGATTGAATTGCAAAAAGTAGCACCATGATAACTCTGAAGGGTGTTTGGGCTAGAACAACATAAGGTTTGGAAATATGTGGAAAATATGTTAAGAGGCACCTCCCAATGTGCACAGGGTCTGGGCTCTTACTGTTTTTTTCTGACACTCGTGGGAGCTCAGTCCTCATCAATCTGCTGCTAATAGTTTTTGAAAGAGGGGGCTGATCATGCTTCTGACCTTTCTGGATGCTTCTGGTGTTCTGAGGTTTAGATTGGATATTAGGAAACATTTCTTCACTGAAAGCATTGCCCTAGCCCTGGCATAGCCTGACCAGAGAAGTGATGGAGTCACCATCCCTGGATGTATTTAAAAGATATGTAGATGTGGCACTTGGAAACATGTTTAGTGCTGGCTTAACATTTGGACTCAATGATCTTAGAGGTCTTTTCCAGCCTAAACAATTCTAATGTTCTACATTGCCCAAGGAAAGGATTCCAGTCCCTCTGAAGAACAAGCCAAAGGACAAGATAGAGCATCTCAGGTCCAAAACACAGGTAGCCCAAATCACCAGCTGCATTGGGGGTGCACTGGGGGTAGGTCCTCATCTGCAGGAGCAGGCAGGACTCCAGTGGTGGGGGGCAGGGCCTGGGAGCTTTTGTGCGTTGAAAAAGGCTTCTGTGAGAAACTGCATTTCACCTTCTTGGGATGTAAAGCCCTTGTGTTCAGCTGGCTTTCCATGGACACACCTGGTGTCCAGCTTGAAGGAATACAGACATCTACTGCATGACTCTGGGGAGGCTGCAAAGTGACGATCTGGATATATGGGTGTGCATGCACATCTTCAGTAACATGCATTTACTGTAGGCAAAAATTACACCATTGTTTGCAGTTATGGCTTCCTTATTCTTCCTGCTAGAGCTCCCTTTTTTCTCTTCTGACTTCTCCAAAATTCCCACTTTGGCTGCAGTTTTCCCTTGTTGCTGCAATTTTCCATTGTTTCTTTCTTGCCTCAGGCTTGGTTTGTTTCTGTGAAGTTACAGTAAAAGAGGTCTCAATGGTTCTGACTAAGTTTAGAAGGGAACTGATGTTTTGTCTTAAATTTCTGTCTGAAATAATTTTTTTCATAATTTGAACACTTCCATGTTCTGAAAGGCAGCCTGGAAATTTGTCTGGAAGATGCACATGGAGTGAAGGGTGTGCTTTTTTTGCCTTCAGGAAGTAGCCAAATGATTCTGTTGAGTTATGGGTCTGAAAATACTTTTGCACATCCTCGTGGGAGAGGAGAGGTTAGACATTGGCAGGAACCAGCCTTTGGAACTGGTATTTCCTCTAAGGGAAAGGGAATGGGAGAAAATGTATGGAATACTGAGAATGAGACAGATGAGCAGATGCAGAATCAAGGATAAGGATGTGGAAAGGAGGGTGAATGAAGCTTGTGTGGTAAGATATAAACAAGGGAATCACTTAAAGGGACTGCTGCCTAAAATTTCCCTCAACACACAGACATTTCCAGCCTCTGAATTTCTTTATGGCCAGCCAGAAGCTGTGCGATTTGTTCCAAAGTTGTTCCCTGCCCTGGTTCACAGGAAGTTAACAGCTTCCAAATTGTGCCAGGATCTCACGTGGTTAAGACATGCTTGTTGTGGAGGTTTTGTAGCAGAAATACCAACACTGGTGTGAATGGAAACACCTCCCTGAAGACACCAGAAAAACAGCAGATGAAGGGTTAGAGGAGTGGCATGTATTAGTTGCTACAGAACCACACCGTGCGTTTCATGCAAAGAAATAAGCAGAGGACAAAACCCAAACTGGAGCCTTAGAGATAAGGTGACAAGATGATGACCCACAGCAGAAAAACTGTGAAATGCCCAGATAAGGGTAACAAAAGACTCCGTTTTGCCTGAAACTCTTGAAGGATGAGGCACAAGATCATCATATCCACTGCTGACAGGTATAAAAGGTGCATGCAAAAATGAAGAAGAGCCCATCCCAGAGATGCAGTGGAGTGGTGGTATTGTCCTAAGTGCTTCCTGCTGTGCTTGGCTGGTCCTGAGCAGATTGATGCATGCAGTCCTGTGTGTGTGAGTATGTTGATGGGAGAATGGGAGTGGGTAGGATCAACTTACTGGAATCTTTGTAATAAAAAGTCACTTTCCCTACCTCTAAGGCCTTGCAATGAGTTTTGTTCCACAAATTTCCCACAGTAATGAGACTAAATGTTCTAGTTCTTCTAGTAGTTCATGTAGGAGGTGATATATATCCACATACATTTAATATAAACCACAGTTGCCTTTAAAAAATACCTAGATAATTAGATTGCATAGTTGCTATGTTAAAGGAGTATTCCTACTAAAGTGAGGCACTCAGCTGCTGTGAATGGGAGTCATCTGTTTAATCTTCATGCTGCCCTCTTGTAGGAAAGCTGCTGCCATCCAAATGTTTCTCATTTTCTAAATGCTCGGCTTGAGAGGTGCATTGAATGCTGCCAATTATAGGTGACACCACTGCACTGAGGCATATAAAGTGCCACAAAAAAAGCACCATAAAGGAAATCAGGCCACCTGAGTTACCTCTCCAGCAGGCTTTCTGCATGAGAGGTTCTGGCTGACCTGGATGCTGCAGCTATAAAGGAAGGCAGCTCTCTGCTCCCACAGAAGTAAGAAAAACTGGTGCTCTGACCACAGTCCAGGTGCCTTTTCTCCCTTTCCTCCCTGTCTCTGTTCCTGGCCATGTGAGCTGTGCAAAGCAGCCACCTGTACCCAGTGAGGGCTTGGGGACAGCTCCACTGCTGTCAGTGCAAGGGGCTGGCATTTGCTTTTCTCATGGAATTGTGGGGAGAGAAACAATTAATTGCTTGTGAAACATTCCTGGGTGATAGTGATCAGGTATCCAGGAGTATAATATGTCTATGTTCTTAAAATCAATAAGGATAGAGGAGTGACACTGAGCAAACAGGGGGCTGAACGAATGCTCTTGGTTTTGTCATTCCTTCAGTGGTGGAGGAGGACCTGGGATTGTCCTGTGAGCAACAGTAATGCCATGGGATTGAATAAAATAACCTTTATGCAATTAAGAAGTTTATAAATTGAAGATACCCAGCCATATAAATGTGTCTTTGTTAATTGCTGCTCAGCTCTGCTGTTTTCCTCATCTCTTCACAGCCATCCTGTTTGAAGGAGTGGCTTGTGCAGGGGAGTTTCTGGTTCCCTGTGCCATGCTCCTGGTCTGATGCTGTGGATTCTGTCTGCCAGACACTGGACACTGCTGCAGGCAGACTCTTGGGCTGCCTTTGAAGAAGGCAAACTCACCAATCCTTAACCAGTAAGTGAGAACATCTGGGGAGAATATTTTTTATTGCTTCTTAGAAGTTCAGTTTACAGAAAACAGTGCATTGTCTTTTACCCTCTTTTTCTCACAAGAGCTGGCAGGGCTTAGTTTGAGTTACATAAATGTTTGCAATAATGTCCTTGGTCTAGAGTTCAATGAAAATATTTGGAGATCAGTCAGTGATTTTTAACATGGCCACTTAAAGTCAAGTTGAAAATACAAGGGTAGTGAGTTCCTTACTCTTCTTGCTCCCTCAAACGTAGGGATATTTCCCTGCTGCCAAAGGGTGGATCTCTTCTGCTCTCCAACAATAAAAAGCAGATGATTTTCCTTCTTAAAATACCCAAAGGGGATTGCTAACACAGATCCTCTTCTCTGTGTGCCCATCCTCATGTGCAGAGCCAAATCCCATCCCTTCTAGCAGCAAGGAAAAGCAAATCCCTGGCATTGAGGGCACCCAGATTAACCCACTGCAGGATTAGGATGCTTGAGCTGTTGTTAGAAGATTAGTATATTTGGTTGTCAACACTTGGCCTGAAAATGATTTCCAAAGAGGTCACTGACTCATGGGTGCCAGTTTGCCCAGCACATTGGGAAAGCCCTGGAGTTAAAGCAAGTGGCTGTGAGGATTAAACTGGAGCACTGAGTGTGCAGAATATCTGCAGGATGAAACCTGTCGTGGCTGGTGGTGGGGACAGGAGGCTCTGGCAGACTGATCATAATATCTGAGCTCCTGCCTTGCTGGGGAGGTGTTTCTGGGGCTTTGCTTTCTGGAGTTTCCTGCTGATGGCAGTGTGTGCCATTAGGTGGGTGAGCTGCCCACAGATGAACTTTTCTCAATTCCTGCACAGTGCAAAATGAGTTTATTTTGAGGACAGGGCCTCCACAGGGGCATCTCTAGGTAGAAAGCAATTGGCTTCCACTTTCTGTTCTGGGACTCAAACTGTCTGTGCTCATAATGTTTTATTTCAGCTGCTGGCAGGAGGATTCATGTTGAGGGTTTCTTTAAAATATAGGATGTTCCTCTTGTCAGCAGGGCACTAATACAGCACAAAGTCTGCTCATGCTAGGTCATCACCTTGTAAATGCTTACATGGCTTTCCAGTGCATGGGGGAGTGACAGTGGAGCTGTGGTCCCAGTGCAACCAGTCCTGCTCTGGTGTGTGCTGGTGTCTGAGTGCTGTGCAGCACCTCTTGGTGCTGCAGAGACTGTGCATGGGGAGGGATGGGCGTGGTAGAGCTCTCCTTCTTGAAAAGCAGCTTTTCTTCCTATTTATTTTCTTCTTCTGTTAAAACAAATGAGGGCTCTAAAGAGTCTAAAGATAGTCCCTTTAAAGATTTTTGGTAATACAGGAAGAGCCTGGATTTTCCTCTGTTTTTCAGTGGAAAACTGCCCTGATGGTAAAATAACTGTTAGTTGGAAACTGTTTTTCTCTGTCATGAGCCAGATGAATACAAAGTTATATTTGATTCAAAGCAACTTGTCTTGAAAAGTACCAACCACTGCCTGTGTCATAGAATTGGTTCCAGTGATTTCATTCAGCAGCATTATCTGGATTTCAAGACACATCCTCTTGTAAATATGGATTTTTATCACGCTTCTCTTTGTGCATCCAAACATTAGCAGCCATTTCGTGTCTGAAATTAGTATAACTGCATTTGCCACTCCTGTGACAATATAATTTTATTTCCTCAACAGGCCAGCAAAGATATTCAAATTGAAGAAATAAGCCTAAAAGTTCTCTCAGAGAAAATCCACTAGAGAAAGGTAGGGCCTTTCCATAAAAGCTTCCTTTGAGTTTAATTCTGGTATCTTAGAGCTATAGCTGTCCTGAGCATTCCCACTTTTGGGAATGCTGTGCAGCTTAGTGAAGCAAGAGACATTCAATTTTAATAACTTTATAAGCACTAAGTACATTGCTCTGTATTTTATGAACGTACCTGAGGGGATTTTTGTAGAGCTGCATGATAAAATAATTTTGAATATTTTATCCAAGGCCTGTGCTGTGATTTATTCTGAAAAAAAACCCCAAAATCTTCTGAAACCCAGAATGTGGGCTTTAAGTTTCTGCCTGGATTACAGAGTGTGGCCAGAGGACAAGGCCACCACTGTGGTGGCATTGCTTCCACTTGTCTCCCTGCAACAAGAGATGCATTCTGGAATAAGCAGCAAGAACATGGCACAGCAAGGTGTGTGGGGGGGAGGTGGGTGTGTTTTTGTTCTTCCACTTCTCCAGTGTTTCCTGCATGCAGAACTTTCCCTAGATTTAGGTCGGCATGGGCCTGGCTGACCAGCTGTGCCTAACAGGCACATGTTTGATAAAGTGACCTGTATTCAGTGAAGAATTTCAGGCCACCCATTTGTTGGATGAAAATGTAATGTCTGACATCATGCTGAGGTCATTTGGAATGTCTGATGAGTAAAGACATATATATGCCTGTACACACTAGACATGTATAAGAGGGCCATAAAGAAGACATGCTCCAGTGTGGAAAAAGGTGCATTGTAGGTTTTTATCTACTAGGAGCAAAGGCCACAAAGTGCTTGTAATGGTTCTGCTTGTACTTCAGCCCAGGCTTGCTGCAACAAGTGCTTATAAACTTGAAGGCAGTTTCTAGGACATGGGCAGAGTCACTGTGTACATATCTGGGGGGTTCACAAAGTGAAAAAAGGAGAGAAAAATGCCAATGCCACCATGCTGTGAGCTCAGGCCTCTGTCATCTTCAAGGAACATGCTATGCACAAACAGCTCTTGTTTTTGATCCATGTGTAGAGCACAACATGTTCTCTGGCTAATAAGAAATAATCATACTTAAACCACTGGTTTCCACATCAGAATACCTCCAAGGGGTGGACCTCAGAATGCCTTCAAAGGGTGGACCTCACACCTACACAGATAAATAGACAGCAACAGTGCTGGCTGGATGCCCTGCACTTCCCACAGCTGGCAAATCCATGTTCATGTGGGCTTTCCACCCCTATCTCAATGTGGTCAAGGAGGCTCCAGCTGGGTTAATTCCCAGTCCCATGATGTTTTTTCCAAAGGGTGAAGATAGTTGCTAGTTAATTCACTGCCTTTATATTTGACATGGGGCCGTTCCCAGCCAGACTGTCTGCTTGGTAAGCACTGTGGCTGCACAAGGTAAATAACATTTTGATGCTGAAGAATATTTTAAATTGGCCATAAAATTTTAATTTGAGAGGAAACAAGCAGAAATATAAAATGAAAGGAGTAGATGTGGTGAGACTGTGGTTCTGTAGCAGACAGAGGTGAAGGTGGTGATGATCAGCTTGCATGGCTTGCACTGCTTCTGTGGGGTGGGCTTGCACTGCAGGGCAGGAGCCTTTTCTATATCAAAGAACAAAAATTTACTCATGACCCAATCTCCGTCTGGGGCTGTAGGAAGATCTGAAGATGCTCACAGGATCCAGACTATGGATCTATGTTGTTTATGGTCAGACTGGATCTTAGAGTTCTTTTCCAACCTAAACTTTTCTGTGGTTCTGTGTATTATATCTCTGTGCTCATCTCTGGAAATGTTTAAGGCCAGGCTGGACAGGGCTTTGAGTAACCTGGTCTGGTGGGGGGTGTCCCTGCCCATGGCAGGGGGGTTGTTGGAGCCACATGATCTTTCAGCCCCTTTCCAATTCAAACCATTTTTATCTCCATCTTTCCCAAACTCCAAATCCAGTCTGTTTCTCCAGCACCCCCTGCCAGCATTTCCCACTCAGGAGCACTAAGATTTTGAGGTGCAGTATTTTGCTTTAAGTGCTCAGTTTCCCTCCTCCTGGCAGGGATGGGGAAGGACAAAGCATGCACTCATTAGCTACTGTCTGCCAACAAGTTGGGAACATGCAATGTTATACGAAATGTCTGGCTGTTATAAAAGGCTTTGGTTAAGTAATCACATTTCTCTTGCATAAGTGCTTGTTTTTGGGAGGCTTTGGCCAATTGGAGGCTGCAGAAGCACACAGGCAGAAAACATGTCTAACTTCTGTGAGTTTTTATTTTTCTTTTAATAATAGTAAGTGATTATTAATCTGCTGAGAGTTGTATGAAATCTCTTTAGATAAGGTTAGGAAGCGGAGACTCCCCAGCGCTGCTTGAAGCTGAACCACAGCTGTAAAACGCTGCCATAAAGCCTGTGTGGATTCCTGTGAGTAATATTTCTGATTCTTCTAATGGGTGTTTGTGACTAGAGACTGCAGGCAGGAAACGTTGCAGACATTTATTGCAAGCAGTAAGTTAGAGGGAGGCAGGAGGTGAGAGACACTAGTGAAACTATTGACCTGTTTAATAAGGCTTTCCTCCTAGACTTCTGTAAGCAAACACAGGTTTCTCTGAAGCTGTGCAATCAAGGTCCTTCCAAATATGCTAATGAAAAAGAAATGTGATGCTGAAGTCAACTACAGGACTATGGGAGGTCAGAGTTTTGGCCTGACGGGGAAGTACAGGATGAGCTAGTCCTGTGTACTGGAGCAGGAAAATGTCCCATTCTTATATTTTTATATTCTTTCCTTGATCATTGGCAAGTGTACAGTGATATTTTTCTTCTACGCTTTCATGGCTTTCAGAAATCTGTATGTCAGTTATCTCCTGAGCCAGAAATTATGTCTCTAATAGTACAATACAACTGTACAACACAATAGTACAATAGTGGAATTTTCTTTTCAGAATTTGCTAATCCAGCGTATCTGTTGAACACAACATGTTGTTCTGTGATTTGACTGACATAAATCTAGTTGGGATTTCATATCTTGCATTCTTCCACATAGGATTTTAATTTTTACTTTTTAAAAGGGTGTTTTTTCTGTTAAGGTAGAACTGAAAAGGGAAAAAACTTGTACAGACTCACAGAAAACAGAACCTCCCTTCCCACTTCCTTGTGACGTGTCTGGATGCAGCCCGTTCTGTGAACAAAGCCTGGAACTATAAAACAATTCACTGAAGTGGAAACTGGAATTTATTGTTCAAGACTGAGCAATGTGAAACAACTCAGTTGTTACTCCTGCCAACCCTGGAAAGCATTGAAGTGCCACTGTAGAGAGAAAGCAGTTCAAGTGCTGAGCTGTGAGGAGAAATAAAGCTGTTGCCTATAGCTGGGTGCATGTGTGCTTACTCTTAGAGGTGGCACTAAACTTTTCTGGCATAGAATAAATGCTGGACTAATGGAATTATCTTGGGAAAGCTCAAGCCACTACTTACTAACTTTGAAAAATTGTAGAATGTGGATTTTATAGTCTATAAAGTTCTTGAGACATGCTAAAGCAGTTAAAGCTTATTTGCAGGCAGTAGATGAGGGGGTAATACCACCATGAAAGGAAGTTAATTTGTCAGAGTTATAGGATTAGAGAGGTAAATGTGAAAAGTTATGTTGAACTAAAAGACACTTGGCTGCTAAGTGAAGACTTCAACATTTTCATATTTGCTTCCTGGAGTGGGCAAAATTGATAAGCCTGTTTGCTTCAGTAAAACAGTGATGCCAGATAAGCTAATTTTGTGGGCTAATTATTTAGGCCATTGTGAAAACCTTAGGCAAACCTAAGTTATGGCTCTTGCAATGCAGGGTGGCAGAGCAGGTGGCTCTCCCAAAGCTTCTCATCTCCATTCTGCAGCCTCACAAGATCTCGTCAAAGGGAGATGCTCCTAGCCCATGCAAAGGACTTTTTAGTTCTAATGAAAACTCCACAAATAGAAGTTGGCAGTTAAAATTTGTGAATTTACAATATTATTTCTAAAACAATCTCTGGGATGTGGAACAAATCCATGCTTCCTTTAGGATAAGCCAACAATATCTCTAATGTGTTTCAGAGTAAGATGGATGCTCTACATAAGTTGAAGATTTTGGTGATGTTTCTGTCTCTGGCTACTTTCACGGTCATGGTGATAATGAATGCTGGAAATGCCACTGGGACTTTCAAAGGTAATGCAAGCAAATTTCCTTCATTCAGAGGTGGGTTTCATGCTTTATATCATGCGATGATACAAGGTGGCTTAGATGGAATAGATGCGTTTGCTGCCTCATCAACTCTCCAAAGACACCTTGTTCTGTGAAAGGTGGAAGTAGCTGGCACATCCTCCAGGCTTACAGCCAAATGAACCCTATCCAGTCCCTTGAAATCCAAATAATGTCCCTGCTGCACCTGGATCTGATGGTGGTTGAAAGGCAGTCTTTGCACACCCTTGAATCCCTAGTGGAAGAGGTTCAGGATGCTGCTGTGGGTTTGTAGATGACACTGGTGCTGCATTTGAGCACTGAATCTGGCTGAAACTGCCAGGAAGGGCCATCATGCCATCCTCTGGGTTACACAGACAGCTGTTCTTTCTGGTTCTGTCTAAGAGGGTAGGTGCATGGTGTTCACAATAAGGGACAGTGATCCCAAAATGGATGTCTAAACCAACTGCAGCACGTGACTGGTTTGCACCAAGGGTGTGCTCTCATCATCCTTGAACCCACTGAGGCAGGGAGGAATATTGAAGGTTAAGGAAAACCAGAAGTCTTTCCCCATCCTCTGGATGCAATAACACTTTTGCCTGCAATAACATTCCACAGGTCTGTTCAGGACAACCCCTGGAAACATCTCAGCCAAATACAGCACTGATTTCACCCCAGCTGGCTGGACTTTCCTCATCTGGAATGTCATCTACGCCTGGCAGCTCGCCTGGCTCCTCTACGCCTTGTCAGGGATCTGTCGAAGGTATTTTCCCTATTTATTCTTTAGAGTGTAAATGACAAGGGACAGTGACTCTTCTCTGTTGGAGTAGCTCAGTCTCTTACCTTCCTTTCAGGGGTTTCTGACAAGGGCAAGCCCATTGCCATCTATCTTGACTTGACATGTTGAAGCTCTGTGGCTGGAGCATCTCTCATGTCCAGCATCCAAAGCTGGGAAGCAGGTTGCAGGTGTACATGAACTCCTCTAAAGTGTGGACAGCTATCAAAGTGTGTAAACTTCTCTATGAGGCCTCATTTCCAGCAATTCAGGGAATCTGACAGATTTACCCCGTACCTGCACTTACCCACTGCTAGAGGCTGAGAATCCACAGGGGCAAAATTAATGGATTACAGAGCTAATGTTCTGGGTTTACTTTCTGTTAGAGATCAAACAACCAGCACTGGGGAGTCTCTTGGTTTGTTAAACTGGACTGGAAACTTTTCCTGGGGCTATGAGATTAATAACTGCCTGACAGGGAAAGCCACAGGTATTTCTGTATTGTATCAAAGAAGGACACAGAGGAGAAATAGTCTGATTTAAGCCAAAATGTTTAATTCCAATGTAAAGTCCCTCCTAATATAACGAAAATGAGGCCAGAAAGGTTTGTTTGGTCAATGCAAACATTGTTTTCCTCTCTCCATACCCACTTTTTCCTGGCAGGAATGAACTTGGATATGTCTTCATAAAGCCAGACTTGCTGCCAACACCTTTTTATGTAGCATGGTGTCTGAATAATGGCCTCAATGTTGGATGGCTCTTTCTGTGGGACCGAGAGTAAGTTGTCTTCTGTTACAAATACTTTTTAAGACTGTTGATGGGATCGTCCCAGTACTGTTTTTTAACTCTATGGATTTTTTCCTTTGTGTGTGAACACTTAATCACGCCTGTAAAACTCTATGCCAGGCTTTGACAAAATGTAGCCTTCATATAAGTTTGGAGGTTTTGCATTATGTTGTCATCTTGCCCATGAAACAGATTGGTCATTGAAGTCTAAGATCTCCTCTAAGCTGCTGCTCTACATTTTTACCTGCACAGGTAAGACAGGAGCCATGCCTCCTTCATTAATGCAGCTAAGCTCCTTGCCTTGGATGGTTTCCATAATGATGGTCACATTAAGGGCTTTTGAGAGCACCACTGTCAAGAGGTGAAGAAATAACTTGCAGTCAGGAAAACAACTTCATGATTAACAGAGTAAAACAGCAGCAGCAATATGTCAAAATGAGGGCTATGTGTGGTATTACCTTTATTAAAGGCTGATCGACTTAGAGCCAGTAAGGGCCAAACACTAAAGCTACAAATTAGGGCATTGTGACACCACTGGGAAAAATGTGATGTCTATTGTGTGTGTACATGTTCTTTGTCCTAGATACCTCCTTCCAGCCCTGGTGTTCCTGGCAGTCCTCTCTCTTACCACGTGTGCCTCCCTTTTTGTTTCCCACCGAGCCTTGAGCATCCATTCCTCGTGGTTTGTGAAGGCTCACAAAGCTGACCTCTGGCTCATCCGCATTCTGGTAGGTGGATTTTGAGAAGCTGTGCAAATGATAAATAAAAACAACCTCTGTGCAGTGCTTGAGGTATCGAGTGAAAGATCCAGTGGCAGAACATGGCTAAGGAAAGATTTCTGCCACACACGGAAAAGTTCCTAGCAAACCTTCTGGAAAGACATCTACATCTCTTGGCACAAGCTGGGAGTGGGCTCTGTTCTTGGCACTCCTGAAACACCAGTGTAACACATATCTGAGCTGGACCTGCCCCTCGGGACTCCAAGGCTTCACCTTTTCTCTGTGTTGAGGGACTTTTCCTGCAGCTAGGTCCAGGAGTTTGGCTTAACTGCACCGGGGCCTATGGGTCACCAAAGGCAGACAGAGTGTGTCACTCCTGTCCTCCTGCTGTGCTGCATGGCAGGTGCAGAACGGGCTGGCCCTGTACTTGACGTGGACCAGCATCGCCACGCTGCTCAACTTCGCCGTCGTGCTGATCTACAAGTGGGACGTGCCCAATGAGAAAGCAACCACTGCTTCCCTGAGCATCCTGGCTCTCGGCCTGGTGATATGGTGAGCAGCCCCAAGGGTCCCCACCGAGCCTCAGAAATCCCTTCCACCACTCACCAATGGTGACCAGCTGTTCCAATTCACTCATCACTTGTCCCTCTCCCAACACCGAGTACAAAGGCCTCTGTTATAATTCACGGCAGATGAATTGGGAGTCTGGCCAGAGCTTTTATCCCCTGACCTCAGCAATGCCAATAAATATTGCGGACCAGGAACATGTTTTTGTGACTTACATGAGCTCAACCTGCCTTAGGTTTACAGCTGAAGGTGTGATAGAGAAACCATATGAAACATGGCTTTATTTTTCCCTAAAGTTACCTTAAATAAATTATTTATGAACTTTTTGAATATTAGTAAATGAAAAATTTTGGACTCTTGTCCCAGCCGGCCGACAAAACCCTTCATTCTCTGTCCAATTATTTTCTTAGGGAATGGAAAACAAAATACAGAAAAAAATCTTACTTTGGTCACTCTTTTTCTCCACAGGTTTTATCTAGAAAACTACCTTCTTGACAAGTATGTGCGCTACAACCTGACAGTCTACCCAGTGGTGATAGCAGCTCTGACTGGCAGCCTGTGCAGGAGCGGCTCGTTTTCATCCCCAATGACCAACGATGTTTTTATAGGTGAGTCCTGTAAAAGAAGGCCTGTAAACACATCTCCCTCTGTATCGAGGGCAGAGAGACTTGCCACTTGAAAAGCATTATTTGTTAAAAGCAGAACTAGGGACATATTTGAAAGTATTTGTTTTGCTAAGGAGAGAGCAGAGCAGAAATCATTGCCCATGAGCCTCAGGGCTGAACCCAAAGCTTGTGCTGTCTCAAGTTCACTTCCCAGTGCAATATGTTTGTCCTGTAATCCTCCATCACCCACTTGGCTCCTCCAGCAGCTCCATCTGATGTAGGACAGGAAAGGAAAAGCAGGGCTGGGATGAAGGCTGTGGACTTCCATTTGCCCTGTATTGTTGGACATATTGGAGCAGTGCATGAGCTTCTGACCCACGGAGGGCTTCACATTCTCCTCTCCCATGCAGAGCCCAGGCTAGCCTTAACAAGTTTTCCTGGGATTATCTGGTTGCTGCCAGCCACTGTAGCAGAATTGAGTGTAGTCATCCATGGTAAAAGGGCTTAAGCTGTCCAAATTCTGTACAATCACAGTCTGGCAGAAGCTGTACCATTATGAGCAGTTTTGTGCTGGCATGAAAGGCACTGAGCTGTGTGAACTCTGAATCCTGCTGAAACAGTTTGAGATGCCTATTCCCATCACGGGGTCAGTAGAAGGGAGCATGTTCCCACCCTTCAGCTTTCCCACTGCCACATACCAGTGGCCAAAGCTAAATTCTGGACTGGCATCACCACTGGAGCTGCTCCAGTACAGTTCTCTCTGCTGTAAGTGCAGCTGGAGCCCGGCCATGTCTGAAAACACCTGGCAGGACCTGGCAAAGCTTGTCTGCCACAGCCATGGGGGCACTGGAGGCTCGTCTCCTGACGGCTGTGGCCACCAGGAATGTGGAGGTGCCTCTGGCAGGCAGCTCTGTTCCTGCAGTAGGTACATTTCCTACCAGCAAAACTTCATTCTTAGTGGTTCAGCTTGTTTGGCTGGTAGGACGAGTGTGCTTTTCCCAAACTAGTACGTGTTTCTTTATATAGTTCAACTATTCTTGGAGTGTTTTGTTAATGTAATGGATTTTAACTCCTGTGTCCAGGAAGCCTCCCCCTTTTTAGACATTCCTTGACCTGGAAGCATTGGGCAAGTTTCACTGTATAGCAGTAAAACTCTGAGAGATACAACTCAGGGGTTAATGGATCCTGTACAGACGATTGTGTTTTTTTTCTCTTTCCCTGAATACCCTTGTTCTGGGAGCTAAAGTATGACAAGAGGCACTGTCTTTTTTTATGCTCTAACATGCCTCTGTGTTTTTTCCCCAGTTGTTCTTCTGGCACTGACATGCTTGATCTTTGTTGTTCGGCTGGGACTAGTCACATGGAGACACTGGAAGAGACCACTGGAAACATCAGAATTCCGAGGTCCATCAGGCACAGTGGCCTGAGACCTCTGGCACACTGTGGCTGATACTTGAAAGGGAAAAAAAAGAATTTGGCCTGTGCTGGTTCCTTCCTTCCTGTATCCATTTCCTCGTGGAAATGGATACAGGAAGGAATATTTGGAATATTCTCTATTCCAAATGCAGATGTCTTGTGTCTGCAAATGTGTCTTGCTCCCACATTCTCTCAGATCAGCTACTCACAACCCTGTCTTGAATTCCTTTGATTTTACCCTGGAAAAGTTCAGGAAAAGGTCCTGAGCAGCCCTGTGCACCTTTGTGATGCCTGGGCTGTGGCTCTCTTCTCCTGCCAGTGCAAGGAGGGCTGCCAACAGGCACCCAGCAGGCTTGCACTCACAGTTGTTCTTGTTTTTTCCTTGGTAGCTCACTTTCTTTGAAGTGCAGATCCAAGTAATCTGTCTCTGGGGTTCCAGGGGAGCAGTGGGAGGTCTGTCATTCCCTTGGCCATCGGTGCTGAGCATCCTCCAAGCCCTGGTGCTGTCAGCAGATCTCCTGCAGGCAGCCACTGCTCCTTTTCCTGCTTCTCTTTGGCATGACAGGAACAGACACTACAGTTTGACATCTACCTTTGCAGTGTCAGCTCTGCTGTTTGATATTCAAGGGGGCAGGGGCAGTGACTGAAGATTTCTGACACAAATGTGTTGCCTTTCCCTGAGCTGTGCACAGCTTGGGCTGGCTGGATGTCTCTCACTGGGGGAGGGTTTGTGGCTACTCTGGAAGGAGGTTAGATGTACAGATGAGCTGGTGCCTGATCTGGGGTGAAGCCTGATGCTTCAAAGGAAGCCTTTAAAAAAAAAAGAGAAATATTGAACCGGTAGAACGAGTTCATCCTGGATCAGTGCCTTCTCATGTGGCTTCACCACTTCTGAGTTGGGATTAGGAAGCCTAAAACTGGATTGACTGAATTTTTGGACCACTGCCTTTCCTTCCTGTGCCTAATTGTGAGTTGCTGGTGCCTAACAGGTGTCTGGAAAGTCTTTGCACCAGGAAGGTGCTTTCAGTGCATCTTGCAGTATTATTAACAAAACTAAATTCTAAAATAACATGTGCTGTTGTTTACGTTTAGCAAAAACCAAAAGTGTAATGCAACTCCTCTCATCATTCTGGTGTTTCTTTTTTTTTTTTTTTTTTTTTTTTTTTTTTTTTTTTTTTAATTATCAAATAAATCAGCTAATTCTACCACTCTGCCACTAACTCTGTAAATCATCTAAAGCAACTGTCCTGGCCACCACCTCACCCATGTCCAGGGTTCCAGCGTGACTCTGGTCCCTTGCTGGGATCTCATGGGTGTAGCTGCTTCCACTGATTGTTAGCCATGGAGGTGAAGGGTTGGAGGATGTAGATTGCTAGGTATGATTTAAACTCCTTTGACCAGCATGCTGTCAAAGTTAAGTTTCTATTTTATAGGCTCTGTCATGTTCAAAGTTAAGTTTCTATTTTATAGGCTCTGCCTCCCAAGAGCCCAGCTAATAAATTCCCAGCAGCCTCTCCATAAGCTGCCTTCTTTAATACAGGGGTATTAAATCCACTGGCATGGGGATTAAGGGGTCCAGGCAAGGTGAGAAGCTGCTGTGAGGCTCTGCAACACTTAATGCACAGGAAGGTTTTGCATCCTCACCAGCAAGAGCGCTGCAAACAGCTCCTGGACTGGGGCAGCTGCACTGCTTTTCCACAGAACATTAAAAATGCATTCAGGAGGTTTCTTGATATCTGTACCTTGTTTCTGTGCTGGCCACATGACCAGAAACTATATCAAAGAATGCAATTAATTATCTGGGGAGAGTTGACAGGGCTTTTGCAAAGGCAAGTCCTGTCTCACAAACATGAAGGGCTCAAAAAGCACAGGCAAGGGTGAGCTGTCCCATACTGCCACTGGCCTCCACAGAGGCACAAAAGCTGCCAAGAAAATCAAAGTCCTCCCACTGGAGATTAAAGCTGGGAAGCAGAGGGGGTGTTTCTCCAGGAAGGGAGCTTGCTGGAGCCACATGTCATGGGCTGGATAAGGTGGTCACTAAAATGAGGGGATGGCTGCAGGATGGACAGCTCTTTAGGATGGTAAAGGAGAAGGTAGACTGGGGAATTGCAAAAAGCTGTCATGGAACAGAGAGGACAGAAGTCATTGCAGGGGTGTCCCAAATGATGCTGTGCTACACCTTGCAAGTGACACCTGGCCCCTGCCACTTGGGCACAGGGTTTGGGGTGTTGGCAGCCATTCTCACCCAGACATTTCCACACCTGGCAGCAGCAGAGGTAAATCATGTACCAGGAATGGCAGAAAAGGAGTAAAACTTGCAACACCCTCCTGCCTCTCTAAAGCTGCTGTGCACCCACATCTTGAGGGCTTTGTGCAGCACTGGTCCTTGCACTCCCAGGAGATTATTATGGGATTGGGAAGAGCAGTGGCAGGAGTGAGATGCCTCCCTGCTCATCCCTGCTCCCCAGAGCTGAGGAGCAGCTCAGGAATGTGAGCCCCTTCCCCACGGGCACCTTGATGTGGTGGCACAGGGCTCTTCCCCCTCTCTCACCACTCCAAAACCAGCTGTGAGGAGAGACCCAAAGGCCCTTTTCTGATGAGATGCTGCAGCAGCACCCATTTAATCTTTGCAGACCTCCCTGTGAGAAAGCCCCTGATACTGCCCTGCAATGATAATGCTGAGCTACCCCAGCCCTCATTTGGCCACCCACAAATAATTTCCTGGTCCCCAAAACCCTCTCCAAGCCCCATTTTCCCATAGCTGGGGCCCACAGAGGTTCCCACAGCAGTCCCAGCACACAAAGCTCCAGCCAGCTTTGGGAAAAATGGCTTTTCTTGCATTTACAGCAGGAACAGGAGCCTAAAAATAAACCACCTGCCCCTTTCTCTTTCAGTGGGCAGGGGGGAAAGCAGATAAAAAATTAGTGTGACCCTTCCTGTTCCAGACTTGGGGACAAAGATAGCTTCAAGACTATTTTAAAGGCTTTTTTGTTTTTCTTGAAATGCCTTATTTTGACTTGTCTTTCCAAAACCACCAGTACATGATTTTGCCCACAAAAGATTTTTCTTTCGGCAGAGCTGCATTTCAGAAAGCTGGAAGCCTGCCAACCTTTTAGCAAAAAATAATCAGCCCAGCCTTTGTTTCCATGAGGGATTATGGGATTTGGGTGAATTTTACAGGATTTAAAATTTCTTGGAAAGCTGGTGGCCTGAAGAAGGCAAGGCCTGAAAAATTAGCTTAGTTTGTGAAAATGTGGTCCTGAAAACGTTAATGTCTCTTGTAGCCCAGTCTGGGATGTGACCCAAGCCCCCTAGATCCATGAGGCTGGAAGATGGATGGGGCTGGCAAAGCCAGGCATGATGAGGTTCCCAGGACATGAAGGTTTGCTTTGCTTTCTGATACAAAATCTGGGTTTAGACTTCTCGTCCTGTGCAGAGATTCCCTCTACAAGGAAATAGGGAAAAGCAGGGTGATCTATAAAACACCACTGGGCAGAAAACTGCATTACTGTGTCTTGGGATGTGTGGGGATGCTCCTTCCCCAGCCCGGGGCCAGCTCCTGCTCAGGCAGCCTCCATCTGAGAATGACCCATCATATCACAGTTTTTCCATAGGGATATATTGGCTGGGCTGGATATTTCTGAGGTTACTAGGCTGTTGTTTTCAGCAAAAGTTTCTGTGAAAATCTGATTCAAAAAAATGTTGCATGGAGAAGTTGTGGGGCAAGGCAAATATGCATTTGAACGGAGAAAACAAATGTGTTAATTCAAAAGGAATTCTTTTTAAAAAATGAAGCTATAAGACCCTGGGTCAGGCTCTCATTAAAGCCCACACAGCTCCCAGAGAAAACCATGCTTCGTTTCTTGCCTTAGGACTCAGCTGGGTCCTCTTCAGCATGGTGGGAGCTGATGGGAGGCTGGGATGGGGGCAGTTTCCCTTTGACACCTCCCACCAGCAGCAGCTTGCTCCAAGCAGAGCTCCCTGTACCTCATCCTGCCCACAACCCCAGAGCACTGCACCCCCTCGTGATGCTCTTGGTTACAGAGCTCAGGCAGAGTCCAGGCAGGAGCCTCACCTGCTGGGCTCCCAAAAAACAGAGCACGCAGGCAGGGGAGACATTGTGCTACAGACTAATTTGTTCTTGGCTTAATGCTACCCTCAGGACTAATTACTTTATATTAAAACATCTGTGAAATGGAGTAATAAATAAAGCTGAGAGAGAGGAGATGTTACTCCACGATGCAAAGCACCGGAACAGAAAGCAGCATTGCTTTTCATCTGCAATTCAGAGCCACTTTGCAAACCCATCTCCTGGCTGCATCCAGGGGCAAGGGGCACAGTGGGATACTGGGACTGCTGCTGAGATATGGGCACAAGTGGCACCAGCCACAAGGGCCACCACCAGCAGGAAAACATGGAAACTGGAAAACTCTTCTCATGTTGAAATGTTGGAGGAGCTCCGGCCTCGGAGAGGGAGCGCAAAGACCAAAAGGTGGCTCCAAAGGTGGCACCCCCAGCACCCCAAGCCCAGCCCTGGCTGGCTGTGCCCCCATTTCCTTATCTGTGATGCAGAGATGAACAGGACAAACCTCTCTGTGGAGATAAAAGCGTGGAACACATGCGAGGATGATTAAAGCCAGCAGCGCCCTTTGCTATGCACACAGCTTAAACACGCTGGGCCCTCCCGGGCTCTTTGAAAACTGTTAGATGTTCTCCAGCTAAATATTTATTTTATCTGCCGGGACAGCAGGACTCATGCATGGGCTGAACATGTGGGAAAAAACTGCTGGAGCAGCCCCAGAGTCTGACCCTGCTCCCAGCAGAGCTGGAGCACTGCTCAGCACATGCATTGCCTGTGTGATAGCACCATGGACCTTCCCTGCTGGGAAATTCGACTCAAAGCCCTTGAATGGTACACAAGGATGCTGTGTTTTCTCCCTTCTCTTTGGGAAGCAAAGGTCTTGAAGCCTTTGGCCAAGAAGCTGGTAAAATGTGATGTTTAATCAACCAAGAAGAGATTGACTGTTGCCTGCTCAGGGTGGGGCCAATTAGGGAGTGCTGGAAGTGACAATGACATTAGCTGGTAACTTGGGTTGCCTCAACACTGTTCTATTTAAAATATGAGCTTAAAAAAAATGGTCATTACTGAAAAGTATTTAGCTTGACTAAGTGGTCTATGACACACAAAAAACCAAATTGTGTTTAGGCCTGTGGTTGCCATTGCTTACCCTGGTGGCAATGCATATTTTGCCACTTATTTTGCAGGAGCAGAATAGAGGAATATTTTGTTGTGAAATGGTCTCAGGGCTGAGAGAGGAGCACAGGGACTGAGCAAAGACATCTGAGAGCTGTGTCAGACCAGCCTGGGAGCCAGAGTCTGGGTTTCCTTGTCCTAGTGCTTCACCTTCAGCCCATTAAAAATGGCATGGACAAAACACCTGCATGCTGTTGTTGTTTTGGGCTGTGGTCTGGGCCAAAAATGCAGCCTCCTGGGAGACCCACTGTGTTTCTCTTTGTTTATGGGGTGCCTTTCAGCCTGCAAATATGTTTCTGCCCAATCCTACTACCCTTGTTATAAGTTCCCTCCAGGAGCAGCAAAGTATTTGGTAAGAAAAGTCCCATCAGACAGAAGCTCATCACAGGTGCCCTTTGAGAAGACCAGAAATCATGAGGAGACACCCACTGTGTGCCTGATGCCAGCAGCAAGGGCAAAGTCATGGCCTAGGGCTGCACATGTCCCCCATCACTGCTGGAGCAGGTGGAAGTGTTCCATGAGGCATTTTTGTCTGATGGCTCCCTGATACCCAGGACAGACCCTACACACCAGTCATGCCAAGCACATTCCTACCCTGATGCAGCAAACCACTGTTTGGATGCTTCTGACATCTCCTTGGGAAGTCACTGCCCAAGGAGATGCTTTGGGACACTGTATTTATGTCTCTCTGCATTATCACTCTATCAGGAACACCATCTCTCCTACCCGGAGCTCACCTGGCCAAAAGATGATAGGAAGGACATACTGTCCACATAACACTAGCCAGAGGAATGCATTCTACTCAAAATAGTAGGAAGAAAAGCTGGTGGTTTAGTGGGATGGATGGATGGAAAACCAGGAAAAACACTGCTGTGGTTTTGTCAGACAAGAACATCTTGTTCAGCCAAATGCAAAGGTGCTCCTTGAGGACACTCCTGCAGAGACAAGGAGACGGGTGATGGCAGTGATGTTGGTGCCTGGCTGGGAAAATGTAAAGGAAGCATTTGAGAATTATCACAGCATTACCACAAAACATATGCAGGCAGGGTAGGAATGAGGTCAGGACTTCAGTAGCACCTGATCCTTTTTCCTTTTCTTCCAGCACTGGCAGCGTGTGGAGGAGGGGAACGTGGTGCTCCTGCCCATATTCCAGGCTGAGGGCAGGGAGGATTCCTGCTGCCCTTTGGGAAATTTGGTCACACAGCTGCTATCAGACTGAGGTGTCCCCAGTGCTGGGGCTGCTCCAGCCTTCAGTGGCAGTGGGGACACTGATGTCAGGCAGCACCTGCTGCCTGATCCTGCAGCAAATCCAAACCCTGCAGAGCCATGGCTGCTTGTGGATTTCTTTGCTCTCTGCAGCAGGTTTTTGAGTGCAGTATCAGCTGCAGGTTATCAGCTTGGGCAGGGAGAAGCTGAAACAAAGCAAAAATCCATCCCAAAAATGCCCATGATACTGTCCTGCTGAGCTGCCCGGGTGACCTCACTCAGATGTTGTGCCCATGTCCCTGTGTGGGATGCCAGCCCTGCCCACCACCCATTCTCTGCCTGAAAACCTGTCCCTGGGGCTTCCCCCGAGGGTATAAACCCGGCAGAGATGGTGATGAGTTACAAATGGGCGCTCCTTAAGCAGTCAGGAACTGCAGCCCCGGGGTGTGTGCCCGAAGCACCACTCCACAAAGCCAGAATTAAACCCGGCCAAGGTTTAATCTGCTCTCTGGATACTGAGGGCAGCCTGCACGTAGGCATCCACTGATGAGTGCAGAGAGCTTGCTGCAGTCATTTGTGATGATTTCCAGTGGCATGAGGGTGCAGTGAGATGGGTTTTTTTTCAATATTAATGAACCCTTCTATGTTTCATTCTGTTAAATGGGAGGAAGTGAGCAGCACGAGGTGTCCTGGGGCTGGCTTACACCATGCTACATGAAACTCAAGCTCTTGAGAGATGAACTTTAGCCCTACCAAAAAGCTCCAGTGCTAAGTTTAAAAACGCTTTGCTCCCACCCACTCAGGGATTGCGGATGTGCTGCTGAATGGGCAGGCAACAACTTCAGCAGCTCAGCCAGCCCGTGGGGCTATCCAGCGCCTGAGGGCAGGAAAACAACTCCCAGCAAGACTGGGGCTTGGGGCTGGCATAAAGAGAGTCCACATTAGGAAGGCCCCAGGGCATCTCTAGGATGAGACCCACTTGTGGGGTTTCCCATGGTGTTGCCTTTGATGTGTGCTCAGAGAAGCCCGTGGCGGAAAAGGAGCTTCCATTTCTCGCCCTCTTCCACTGATGCAGTCCAGATGCAGAAGTGGTTGAGCCTCTGGAAAGATGCAAGGCTTGGCATAAAGGGTTGGGCTTCCTCGCTGGCCCCAGCAGCCTGCTAAGGGCTGTTCCCTCGTTACTCATCTCCTCACACCCCTCTAGAAACCTCTTGATCTTCAAACTTCTTTCAAAAGGCAAAAACACTCGGTGTGAGGCAGGACTGGAGCAGCTGCCAGCACGCTGCCTTCCACAGCACTGGGATGGAGATGGTCAGGGAAATTACTCCAACTCAGCTGGTGAAACAAGAATATTTTTTTTCCCCCTTCCCTCTTCTGATAGAAAGGCAGCTCTTTCCCTCAGCCATGATGGGATCTCCTGTCTTTCAACACTTTGATCACAAATTGAAGCAGTGCTGGGTCTTTACTCTCTGGAACAGTGCTTGCTGTGAGCAGCATCTCCAGCAGACATTGTCCATCTCTGCACCAGATCCAGGATCTGCTTCGGGCTGAACCTGGTGGCTGGGCAAGGATAAGTGACATCACAGCCTGAAATCCTGATTGTGGTTCCCAAGCTTCGTTTGTTTCTCCTCTGCATGTCCAGGAAATTATTTTTTAAGAGTCCTGGATGGTGCCACGGCTTTAAGGGAGTGCATGGAGAACGTGGCCAACCCAGGAAATATTGGGGGTCTGTTGCTCTGGAAGAAACATCTCCCCTGAAACCCTGTGAAAACAATTCCCCTGTGGGCAGCAGTGATCTGGCTTGAGATGTCTTCAAGGCTGGGCCTGATTATTTTGTTACACTGAAATTATTCTAGTGAATTTTGGGAGGGTGGCAGTGCATGAAATGCCGCGTTTAGAAGAGGCCTGGCTTCTGACCCCTGCACAGCCAAGCTCTCTGCTCAAGCTTTCCCAACCAGGGTGTGCAAAGCAATGAAGATCCTCCTGAAGCTCCTGACAGCTTGTCAAAGGAGAGGTTGTGTGCACTGAAGGCATCCATGACACAGAGTACAGGTCTTTCTGGGGGTTTTGTCCTGCAAAACTGGATTTCAGGAGGGGCTTGTTGTTGGCCAATGGTTTCTGTCTTCATCACGAGGGGTTGAACAGGCTTCAAAGAGAGCAACAAATGCAAAAACCCATTGGATAACTCATAGGTCAGAGGCTTCAAGATGACACCCCCACACACACTTTGCAAAGAAAATACAGGATAATCAGGCAAGAAAACCTTGAAAATCCCTTTTCCAGCCAAAGCAGCCCGACTGTGTCCCTGGGTAGCTCTCTTGCACGGTTAGAAAGCCTCTCCACTTCCAAGCTGTACATAAACACATGCCATATTCCCCATCAGAGGGTGATAAACACACTTTTAACTCGAAGTGTGTTTATCTGTTGGCTGACAAGCGCCGCTTAAGAGCTCCGTTTGCCGAGTCCTGCAGAGGCATCCTCGCTCCCGATGCCAGCAGGGTCTGGAGCGTGTCTGGTGCTCCGCAGGGGCAGAGCTGTCACCCAGCCCACCCAGAGCTCCACACGCTCTGCCTGAGGCTGGATTTTGTTTTGTCTGAAGGCTCAGCCTGCCTGAGCCCACGGCAGGGCAGGGCTGCCCGGGCTGGCTCCCGGCTCTCCAAAGGAGGAGCCACAAGCGCTGGGGGCTCTCGCTGTGCCCGCGGGTGCTGAAGCTCCCAGGACGCTTTTGGAAGAGTTTGCCCGCAAACCGTGTGCCCACAGAGCTGGAGCGGGGAAAAGTGTCCTCCTTCAGCTGAGTCCCGGCCAGGGAAATTTGGGCATCCTCTGCCAGGATGTGATTCCTCTGTGGGGGCAAATCAGTGCAAACGATCCTCCAGGCAGGGGGGGAATGATCGCGCCTTCTGCTCCGTCTGCTCAGCCTCCTCTTCCTCCATGCATTTCCCACTGCATTTCAGCACAACCTGGGCTTCTCCAAAGCCCACTGCCCATCCCGCTCTGCTGCTGAGGAAAGCATCCCCCGGACAGGAAAATATCCCTTCTCCTCCCACCTGAGGCTGCAGCTGGAAATGCAGCACAAGACAAACGGGCTCTGGGATTTCTTGGAGGGATTTCGTGGGAGGGCGTAGAGCACCATCTAGTGAGGGGACCATCAGCCAGCCTGGGCACCAGCTGAGACCAGCTGCGTCCTGGAATCAGAGAATCACAGGATGGTTTGTGTGGGAAGAGCCCTGTGAGACCATCGAGCCCAGCCATTGACCCAGCACTGCCAAGCCCACCGCTAAACCGTGTCCCCAAGCGCCACATCAACGCCCTTTTGGAGCACTTCCAAGGACAGGGATTCTACCAGATCCCTGAGCAGCCTGTTCCAGAGTCTGACCACCCTTTCAGTGGGGAATATTAAATTATTAAGACACGATTTTCCCTTCAAGAACCCTTTCTGGCTTTAACTGCAGGTGCTTGCACCCTGAGGAAGGCACTGAGCAGGACCTGGCTTGTCTTCTCCCAGGGTTTGCACAGAGAATATTTGTATCACCAGCAGAAACAGTGGAGATTAGAAAGGAGTGCAACTTCTTGTGGTGGCTCTTTTTCCAGCTTTCTCCTGTCCCTTCTGGAGGGAACAGGGCAGCTGGAATTGTTATACAGACAAAAAGCAAAAGTCTTGCTCACAGCTGAGCACAGCTGGGCTGGGCATTGCTGCCACAGCTGAGCAGAGCCTTTTGTCAAAGGGCCTGGGGAGAATTTCAGCTTCCCTACAGCTCCATGTGTTGAGACCTCAAATTGTTTTGTTCTAGGAAACCTTAAAAGCACCCAAAACCTCTTTCCTGTTGCTCTTTTTTTGTTGTGTGACCTCTGTCTCTCTGTGACTTTGGCCTGAGAGGTGGAGAGCCAAGACCCCCTCACAAAGGCTGTGAGATGCTGCCCACCTCCCAACCTGCCCCTGCAGCTGCTCTAATTAAAACCTCAGGGATGAGCTAA